TTTATCTCCCGGATACCGCGGCTCAGTGTTGTGCTATGTAGGCCATCGGTATAATATTACACTCATTGGGACATGCGGACTCTCAAACTTAAAAATAAAAAAAATACGTGTTCTCTCCTTTCGTAAAATGCGACTTATCCGGTTTTGTTGTTGTTGTTGTTGTTGTTGTTGTTGTTGTTGTTGTTGTTGTTGTTGTTGTTGTTGTTCCACTGCAGTGTTCACCAGTGTTCATATCTCTTGCAGTGTGGTTGTGCAGTTGAACCGATGACGTCACATATTCCGGTCATTCGACCACACCCTGTCGACGCGCTGTTCTCGAACGCTTCAATGAGGAACCTTTTTGTTTTTTCCTCCGCTTTTCATACAATTTTTTTTTCATTCAGCTTTCTCTACCTGAATGTTCTTGGGTCATTACTTTTTCCCTACTGCTTTTCATGGCTGGACATTTCCTGCTTCAAAACCACACCAACATTTTGTTATAATCGCAACTGAAACCTCAGGCTGAAGAATGATCATTTTCAGTAACGGGAAGAGATAGGCCATTATTTCCCCTTCATTTTGAGATATAATACATGTGGATAAAATTGAAAATTGAACTCATAATCTTTAATTTGTCCGACGGTAGGCAGAGTCAGAAAGTAGGTCAGGGAAAGGGTCCGGTCCAGGTGAGGAAAACCCCCTGGTAAGGAAGGAGTTAAACATGCAGTTTGTGTTTGAGATTGCTGTATTTGTTTAGTAGTTTAGTATGGGGTTTTACAGCGCTCGCAGCTGCATAAGGTTATATGAGCACGCAAAGCACAAGTTGGTTTTTTATACGTGGTTTACTACACGGCTGTGTATGGGTTATTTGATCTTAAAAGTTACAATATCAAATATTTGGTGTAGATATATAATTTCAGACTAAAACAACTTTTATTAAAAATGGTAAATTATTCAATTTTGTTCTATACTACAATTTTCCATAGAGGCCAATGGCCTTCATTAAATTCAAAATTCTGTTGGGACCAACGACAGAAAGATTGCTGTATGATGTTTGGAAATGTGGCTAAACGTTGCCTTTTGTCTTTTGTCCATAGGACGTTTTAGGTGACCGCCAGTTAAAGAAAACTTGACTTTCGTTTTCTACTTGATGTAAAGTTCGGTTTGTTAGGCAGGCTTTTAATGTTATTTAGATACCTTTCTGTTTATATCTGTAGTTATGTATAATAAAAATGTTCGCAAGATTTCGAAATTTGATACATTGAAGTCTTTTTTTTAAATTACAAGTTATGTTGTTCACATTATGGGTCTATGTTCGTGTCGGAAGAAGATAGCATCTACAATCTAGCACGCACATAGCTGAACGTGTGCATACCGAAACACGAACATAGCGAACCATGCACTAAGCGAAATTCGCACACAGCGAAGAGATTTTCAATTCTTGAATCTGTTTAGTCTTCACGTATATTCTCATCCTGTTCATTTCGCTATATGTGCGGTAGTTTTTTTGTTTAAGAAAAATAGCTTTTGCAAGGTTATACGGCGCTCACCACTGCGTTATGTGAGCGCCGATGGGTGGATTTCAACAGAAAAGTTCAAACGGGGAATCAGGCTTACTCTGTTCACCTCTCTAGCCTCAACAGCACAAAGTCTGCTTCGACTGTCAAAGCACCCCAGAAATAGCAGTTCACGAAAAATTGACCAACATACATTTTATTATTATTATTATTATTATTATTATTATTATTATTAATAATAATATTATTATTATTATTATTATTATTATTATTATTATTATTATTGTTATTATTGTTGTTGTTACTGATGTTGTTATTATTGTTATTATTATTATTAGTAGTAGTAGTATTGTTGTTGTTGTTGTTGTTGTTGTTGTTATTATTATTGTTATTATTATTATTATTATTATTATTATTATTATTATTATTATTATTATTATTATTATTATTATTATTATCATTTTATTATTATTATTATTATTATCATTTTATTATTATTATTATTATTATTATTACTCGATACAGACCCGTTTTAGGAGCGAGGATTTATATAGTGATAGGAAATCCCACGATAAAATGTTTTGTACCTGATTCATTGCCGTGGGACCTCTGGGTAGACAACATTGCTGGCATAAGCGCCATCTGGAACTCCGTCCTGGGCAGCAAGTCTGTTTGCATGAATTCTAATAGAGTCCCTGGACCCAACACGACTCATTGCGACTTACAATTATCCAAATGGGAAAAAAATTGCCCTGTAGAGAAACCCCTATCCTTTTTAAAGTCTGTCCTAGAGCTTTGTTGTGAGTCCTTGCAACAGCAAGTCTAACCAGAAACTGTTTCCGACGCATTCTGAGATGTTATGATTTGTGAGACGTGCTGACAAAATGAGTTACTTCTCACAATCCACAAAAGGAGATATTTGCCACAAATCGACACTAGGGTCAAATTTGTAGATTTTCCATTGAAGTCATATTTCGAAAGAATAACACGCCTTATATTATTTCATACGTATACATTTTAAAACTTCACCTAGAAGCGTGAAGTATTTATTTCCTTAGGGCTCAAATCCGAGAAGTAACTCATTTTGTCAGCACGCTTCACATTTGGTGCAGCAGCGGATTCTTATCTTTGTCTGGAATTTCTGCACTGACTATTTTGTCTGTGCCACTTGGTGTATTCGGCTTGTTATCTTTGTCCATAATTAGAAAAAAATAGTGCTTTCGGCAATCTCCTCACTTTTGTGGAACCACATGGTAGCTGTGTGTGCTCTCATCCCTCCTAGTGCTTCCTTCTTTAAAATGTCATCCATCAGGGCATTGAGCTTGAATTTGAAGACTCTGAAGAAAATATGAGGTCGATCACCTGGCTGCTCCCCTTCATTCAAAGCAGCTGTGATCTCAAGCCATTTGGGATTACATGTGAATGTAATAACGATGTCTGGCTTTCCAAGTTGTCTCACTATCGCCATGGCGTCTTGGAAGGATTCCGAATAAAATCTTGGGGAACCGTACACTGTTGCTGGTAATGTATTATCTTCACACCAACATTCACAGGGTCATCAGCAGAAGCAGGATCTATCAACCCTTGGTATTTTTCAGCACGAATTTTGTTTTGTTTTATTTCTCCCAGTCTAAGCGGCTTCCCTCGATCAGCGCCCATTGGTCCTCGGCATATTGTTGCGTTAGCCTCATCATTTTGAATATGATATTAAAATCATACTTGGAGACGGAAGGCATAAAAATCAGCGGCGGTAAGGGTTGTGTTGTCTGACGTTTTTAGTCCTAGATGCTAGCCATCACATCCAGTGGGGAACATGGGCACATAGTGAAGGGGATCGTGAGAACGATGGCACGTACTGATTCTTCGTAATTCCTGGCCATCTCCTGATCTGCATCTCGGATGCGCAACAGATTTTACCATTAGACACATTTAACCGAATGTCTAGACTACGGAGAGACCCGAAGGAAATATTTTAAAGACAAAAAAATTGTAAGATCTGTTTTCCATCGCTGTTCCGAACGGATATTTTTATATTAAGAAGGCCATTGGCCTTTATGGGAAATTATAAAATGGATTGTTTGAAATGTTAAAGTGTTGTTTAGAAAGTAGTTTAAAATTTAACACCTATTTACACTCAATTTTTAGCATTCTAACTATCTTAACTAGAAATGTTGACCATAATCAGGCCGAGCAGTGAGCTGTTGAGAAAAAAAAATTGTTTCTCAAGCTCATATGACCTTATATAGTTGCGGGCGCCGTAAAACCCCGTACTAAACTAAAACTGGTATACATCGTAGTGCGCTCGTATGATGTCCAAATGGCCGGAGTGGTCTGCGGGTGGAGTGCTGCAGCCTCACCACATGAAGGTAAACTGTATGTTCTGGTCTGTCCGTTTCTAGGGGTGAGGGGACTTGCTGGCATGCAACACAATTTCAATTTTTTTTTCTTCTGCACACACTTCAATTGCGGACTTGGGAGATTTTACGTATGAATTGACATTCTGAGGGCAAGCTGGACGTTCATTCAAAAGGTCTGGCCGTAAAATGTGTGACTGTCTCAGCCTCTCCTGTAGTTCTGTGGCAGAATCATGAAAAAAAATATGAGCAAACTTTGGTTCAGTTTCAGCAGTGAGAAGAAGATTTCCTAATCGGTGGTACAGCTTGTCCTGGATTTTGAACAGCTTGTTCACTGCACCCAATTGAAGCAAGGACGAGAGCTGTCGCTCTGTGTTCCATCGTAACACTTTATTAGTTTCTGAAGGAGTGTGAGTGGTACAGCTACACTAAATTTGCCATTTTGACAGCAGAATGTGTTTCTCTCTTCTCTCCATCTTATGGCATTGCAAGGTTCACAGACAAAACTGAATTCACCGCAGTCATGTGTCCGTAATCTCCGACCAACTTCAGTTTCAACAGAGGATTGTGCCCATCATGACAGGTTGCTACTGCTTCTACTGATTATTGACTGCTGCTCCGTTTGATTTTTTGTCTCGACCCCTTCTCTCCGAGTCCCACGAATGTGCTTTGAAGAAAAAAATCGAAAAGCAACGTTTTACCAAATTAAATGGCAAAATCAGTTGCCATGATCAAACTGTTCAGTTCTACTTTGTTAATTGCCGTGGATTGAGTGAGGGCTTCAAACTTGAAGTAGTATAATGACGGGAAGTTGGCTATGAAAAGGGCATGTATAATGACTGATAGAATGACGGGGATAATGACGACAATCAGTTAAGTGGATCACGGCATTTCCAGGCGCCCTCGTGAAATTGTCTCCCCTTGAAATGACCTATGTTTTCATATCCTCAACAAATCACGTCATCAAAAAAGTCCAATGCAAGCTTGATCAATAGATTTGCCTTCCTTTTTTTATTTCCAGATACTGCTGTTTCAGTTTTGCATTGAGTAATTTCATAATGATTATTCCTTTAAGCTATTTCGTGGAGTTCTTATTCAAAATGTGGTAACGGGCAGTGTCACAGAGGTGATATTGTTCAGTGCCAACAAATTATATGTAAAATTGTCGTCATTATCGCAAAGTATCAGTTGAAGAACATTATCACCATAGCGCCAGGAATTACTCTTGACGTTTTGTAGATTCTCTGTTTAGTTTTAGTTTTAGTAAGTGCTTTTTACCACTTGCAACACAATTAGGTCACACAAGTGCGGACGATTAGAAGAGTTACAAGAGAGTAACAGGCACACAAAAACAAGGAGGGGAGGTAAGGATGAGAGATGTTTGATTGAAAAGAAGGAGAAAACCACATCAGAGCACCCGCCAGCCACCCGCTAGATTCTCGAAAGGAAAAAAAGAGATGATGTTGGAGGTCGATATTTGAGTTACTATAAAGGACAAAGAAACAAGGAAGAGGAATTCGATTTGAGTTTTGGTCTTGTATTTCATGGGTAAGAGTTAGTGAGTTCAGAGCCGTTGTAAACAGATTGTGAAACTTTTGGCAACTTTTGTTCCGTCCGGTATACCTTCGACTTAGACACTTTCGGAAATCCCCGTAGAGTGGATATAATACTGCTTTACCTCACGTCACCTTGTTCAAGGAAAGGGAAAGGGAAACATTTATAGTGGGTACCGGCATGTTATTATGGTGGGGCATGATGTTCCGAGAGTTAGACTGAACTGACAACATGTCTTTGGGCAGTCTCTAGAAAACTGAGTCTCTAAAAACCTCTTTCTCTTTTTCGTGAAAGGAATCCATGGGTACTTATTAGTTCCGTTTGATAAAGAGCAGTTTTTTTCGCAGCAAAAATTTCTGCAAGATAAACCAAAGAGGTTTCCGTTCTACCTCAGACGAGGCAGTCAAGAATCTTGTGAGGTGATTTTGCTGACGGCTCAAGAATTGGTTGCGAAGAGTTATACTTCCCTACCCAGAATCAAATACTGTAATACAGTATCAAATGCTGTTTCGAACACCGTAAAATACTTACAAAGAAAAAAATAACAAGAACAAAAAACTATCCAGTATTCTTTACAGCAGATGCTAAAACAGCACCTGGACATGGATGGCTGGTGCCTCTGTAAATAAATCATTGATGGTCAAGAGCAGATATGAAAGAAAGAGTGACCAGAGCTTATGAGTAGCAGCTAGAGGGACATATGAAAGTGCACGGAGAGAGGACTGTCTGCCAGCACTCACCACGAGAAAGTTTTCGAATGAATTTAAAAAAAAACACTGACTGTTTTTAAAATGGAAACTAGCCCCACACCGAAAAGCCTGTTTGTTCCTTCTGAGACCTACGTGAGCACAGAGACGGTAAACCTTATCGAGATTATTCTTGACCTCTTCATCAACTTTGTCATCTCTGTCGTGGGCGTGGTCACCAACATCCTCGTCATCGCCGTCTTCATCAAGCAAGGCTTCAGAGACAGCGTCAGCGTTTCCATGACGACCATCGCGGCCTGGGACTTGCTGAAATGTTGGAGCGGCGCCCTGCAGAGGCTCGTGGGTCCCATGGAGCTGCTGTACCCGCGAGAAGCTCAAAGCTGGAGGAACATCTCGCACATAGTGCTGGGACACACCATCATTTTCTCCACCGTGGTGACCAGCGCCCTCGCGGCGTACGTGGCTGTAGAGAGATGTCTCTGCGTCTGTTTCCCCCTCCACGTCAAGTGGCTGCTCACCAGGAAGATCTCCGCCTTCATGTGCATCACCATTTCCGTGGTGGTCTTCGGCAGTTTTTGCGTCATGTACGGAGCCTATGATTTGGTCTGGGTCTGGAACGCTCGATTTAACGGCACTGTTGCTATTTATAGGTACAGCTCATTTGCATTGGCCAGTGAAGGAGATCTGTTTCCGTACTACAATATGATCGGGATAGTGTGGCCCTTCCTCAGTTTTGGCGTGATCACATTCTGTACCTGCGTCATCTCACACCGCTTGTACCAGGCCTCCAGATTCCGCAACAAGCAAAAGGTAAGTATCTCGTCCAACACCTGATCAACTGCTGTTTTTTCCTTATTTTTTTTTGGCAAGTGTTTTACGGGGCTCACAACTGCATAAGGTCATATGGGGGCGTTGGACACATTAAACATTTTCAGTAAGTAGGAAATTTTGAATTTTACCCGGGTAACGGCCGAAGCCTACTCTTGTCAATTTTAAACCACCAAGCGATCTTTAATTTGCACTACTTGTATACGAGAACCTCCGAGAGTTTTCGCCTTTGTCCAAGAAGGTTAGGTGCACATCTCTCCTACCATAAGATCAGGGGTGTTGCTGAAAGACAGCAGTAAGAAGGAGCCAAGGAGTAGCAGTAAAAAGGCTGCAGAAAGAGTCAGGAGCCCAGAGGAGGGGACCAAGGAGGTGATGGGGTGTGGGCAGAACGTGGTGACGTAAGCAGGCAAAAGACGATTGCTAGAGAACAGGAAAGGAGGGAAAAGGAACCAATTTTAGAGAAGAAAATGGTTCCGACGCTACCCGAATTTGAACCCGGAACCTTTGAATGAGAGGCGAACACCTTAACCTTAAGGCCACGAGAGCCCCCCCCCACCCGCCCCCCCCCCCCCCCCCCCTCAACTGCTCAAAGCTCACAAAGCAACATATTGTTTTATCTCCAGAAGAGAAAAAAAAACTTGTACCGACATTCTGTATCTTTTCCTGCTTTTTTTTCAGCTTGCAAAATTTGAGTTTTAACCCTAAATTTCCCGAAAATACACAACTGATGGCATAGTAGGCCTACTTAGTAGGAAATTAAAAAATAAAAATTCAAATGTTGGGCTCAGTGTAGCAAAACAGCTGTCAGATGAGCTCTTTTTGTCCCACTTAATAAATCCTCTCACTGTGGCGTTGGTAGCGTGGTGGTTCAGCTAATGGGCTTTCAGCTGAAAGATTGAGGGGTCTAATCCACGTTGGGTCTTACGTTAAGTCTTTTTTTTAAAAATCTTTTGCCACAAAAAAACTCCAACAGTAGCTTATCTTGTAAGTCAATGACTGAGAAACATACAACGGTATCTTGTATGTTAGCGTCTGAATACACATACAACGGTATTTTGTATGTTAGCGTCTGAATACACATACAACGGTATTTTGTATGTTAGCGTCTGAATACACATACAACGGTATTTTGTATGTTAGCGTCTGAATACACATACAACGGTATTTTGTATGTTAGCGTCTGAATAAACATACAACGGTATCTTGCACGGTATGCTTCCCAATGAGCTGAGAAGGTCTAGCAGTTATGACTTCTTCTTCCTCTTTTTTCTCTTCTTCTTCTTCTTCTTCTTCTTCTTCTTCTTCTTCTTCTTCTTCTTCTTC